ATACTAATGGGCCTTAAAATTAAAGAAGTTAGTAAAATTTCTTGAATTTTTTTTTAGTAAAATGAGAATAATTTATTCGCAGTCGAAAAAATTATTTCCGCGTGTTGTTTAGGGTCAAATATTTCAAGTTAGTGTATTCAAAAAGCAGGAATTGCTATTTTCTTATTCAACAACATGGCGGCTTTCACTTTGTTGTTTTGGAGATTAAAATGGAGTAGTCCTTAACAGGTAGTATACTAGTCGCAAGATTGCCTAATTTAGTCATCCTAGAGTCTAGCTTGTGCCGCCCTCTATATTCTGAATAAACGAGGGACTGGATAAAGTATCGGTAATATGTCGATGTATATTTAAATTTAGTAAAATAGAAAACAAATTTCTTGCAGTATAGGTATATAATAAATAAAATTATATAAGAGTTTCTTGCCTTGAACTGCTAATATAGAAATTAATTCCACGCTGTGTTCGACATAATGTGGATCAACCTGCTCTCACTACCGGTTTCGGCGCCCTGCCCCATCATCAGGTGAGCTTGGGTCGTTTCCACAATATGTCGAGCATAGCGCAGGGTATATAAACACGACTTGTCGTAAAGTTGCGGTGAGATATTAAGTCCCGCATCGCGAGATAGCGGCCTGCGTGCAATGGTAGTACTTTCGTACCACCGAGGCACAACTATCGATAGTAAATAAAGGCTTTTTTCGGTTAGCCCAAATTATATAATGGAAAATAAATTTCTTGCAGTTCTTAGGTATATAATAAAATTATATAAGAGTTTCTTGCCTTGAACTGCTAATATAGAAATTAATTCCACGCTGTGTTCGACATAATGTGGATCAACCTGCTCTCACTACCGGTTTCGGGGCCCTACCCCATCATCAGGTGAGCTTGGGTATTTCCACAATATGTCGAGCACAGCGCAGAGTATATAAACACGACTTGTCGCAAGAAATTTATTTTCCATTATATAATTTGGGCTAGCCGAAAAAAGCCTTTATTTACTATCGATAGTTATGCCTCGGTGGTACGAAAGTACTACCATTGCACGCAGGCCGCTATCTCGCGATGCGGGACTTAATATCTTACCGCAACTTTACGACAAGTCGTGTTTATATACTCTGCGCTGTGCTGGACATATTGTGGAAACGACCCAAGCTCATCTGATGATGGGGTAGGGCCCCGAAACCGGTAGTGAGAGCAGGTTGATCCACATTATGTCGAACACAGCGTGGAATTAATTTCTATATTAGCAGTTCAAGGCAAGAAACTCTTATATAATTTTATTATACAGGGTTGTTCACCACATACGACGCGGAGTATTGTAGCTAAACTATCTAATTTTTGCAAATTGTAAGTTTTGGCTTCGTTGAAGGACTATTAGAGCTACAATTTAAAAATATTTTTACAAGATACAGAGTGTACCAAATAAATAAAAAATATCAAAGTTGTATTTTTTTAGATGGAACACCCTGTATATTATTACATTTTTAGTTTCTACGATTAAAATAAAGGTAAATTTGATTAAGGTTTACCGCATTTTAATCTTACCGTTTTTGAAATATTTAGGTTTTTGTCAAAATACAGTAATAATTATAATGCTTTATTTCTCTAGGCGTATTTAAGTTTTTAAAGCCAAATATTGTATTGAAGTATTTCTATTCACTCATTCAAATTTTGTGTTGCAATAATAAAAATTATACTATCTTATACAGAGTGTTTAAAAACTTATTTTAAATAATAACTAGTTATAAACGGCAATAACTTCTTTAATTTAAATAGAACACCCTGTATATTTTATGAGAATCAGATGCACAATTTAATTGTCTATCAAATTATATTATTTCATTTTTTACCTATGTCTTCAGGTTTTCGTAGAAAATGCATTTTCTTATAATTTAGACCTCAATTATCAATATACCCATGGAATATTGACATTTTAGATTATTTTTAAAGCTGTAACAAATTTTTAAAGGGTACAGATACCAATATTGTTGATATAGTTCGTTTATGTCATTAAAAAATAAAAAATTAATGTTTAAATATTTGTAGAAATGACCAATTAATATGATTCCAGTATTCAAACTACATTAATGGACTGCCTTGCATTGATTAATAATAATTAAGTACAAAGTAACACCTTAAAAATTTTATTTAACTTTTTGACGAATGCTTATTTATAACAACAGAGATGTTCATTTTCAAAACTTATTATTATATTTATTATTCTGATTCCAAATCCCCATTTATTTAGAATAATTTATTAACTAACACAATTAAATATGTAATTAATTAATATTTGGGCGGAAATAGTGGTGGTATATTTAATTAATGGTATAGTCTTTTATAAAGATTTAAATAGTTTTATTTTTGTATACAAATAGGCTGGTAATATTATCATTTTTAGTACCTGTACATTTTGTACATTTGTTGTTTTAAAAACAATCTAAAATGTCAATATTCCATGAGTATGTTGATAAATGAGGTCTTAATTATTAGAAAACGCATTTTCTACGAAAACTTGAAGAGATAGGTAAAAAATGGTATAATACAATTTGATGGACAATTAAATTGTGCATCTGATTCTCCTAAAATATACAGGGTATTCTATTTAAATTAAACAAGTTATTGCCGTTTAAAGCTAGAAATTATTTAAAATAAATTTTTAGACACTCTGTATGAAGTAGTACTACTTTTATTATTGCAACACAATAACTAATCAATAATTAAACTTCAGTAAATATTTAGTATTAAAGACTTTGATACCCTTGGAGAAATGAAGCCTTGAAATTTTTACTGCAATTTCACAAAATTGAAAATATTTCAAAAACGGTAAGGTTTAAGGGTGATAAACCTTAATCAAATTTACTTTTATTTTAATCGTAGAAACTAAAATCGTAATAATATACTGGGTGTTCCATTTAAAAAAATACAACTTTGATATTTTTTATTGATTTGGGACACTCTGTATGTTGTAAAAATATTTTTAAATTGTAGCTCTAATAGTCCTTCAACCAACCCAAAACTTACAATTTGTAAAAATCTAATCGTTTAGCTACAATACTCCGTGTCGTATGTGGTGAACAACCCTGTATACCTAAAAACTGCAAGAAATTTATTTTCCGGTATATAATAAAATTATATAAGGATTCTTGCCCCACTTAACTGCTGATATAGAAATTTAATTCTATATCTAAGCTGTGTTTGTCATTATCCGCTATCTCCCGTTCGGGACTTAATATCTAACCGATACTTACCGACAAGTCGGAATTAACTATCTCCGCGCTGTGGTTGTCATTTTGTGGATCTGCCCAAGCCCATGGTGGTGGAGTAGGGCTCCGAAACCGGTAGTGAGAGCAGGTTGCACATTATGACAAACACAGCGTAGAATTAAATTTCTATATCAGCAGTTAAGTGGCAAGAATCCTTATATAATTTTATTATTTAAATTTAGTTTAATATGTGCCTTTCTTACGTCCCATTTTAATTAAGTTTTTTTTTATAAAAGCAAAAACAGCACTGAACTATCTGACTGAACAGAACAATGAAGTGAAAATTTAAGATTTAAGGTTATGGTTCAATACAGTTGCAAAAAGGTAGTGGCTCGACGTCCTACCAACGTAAGAATAAGGAAATCTAAACAACGCTGGAATTAGTAAAACAGACGACGTTTGCATAACGTTGGAATAGGTCCTGAAAGTGACGTCGGAAAACTCTTTATTGCCCAACATTGTAACTACGTTGTCCGAATCACCTAAAGATCACTTAAGCAAAAAAGGTTACAAGACAACGTTTATTCGACGTCGCAGAAGCTTTTACTCTGTTGTAGTACTAGTTCAACGTCGGCACAACGTTACAACAACGTTTACATTTATTTTAATACCCAAGGTACGGACAAACTGTACGGAGCTGTGTTCTGTTCGCTACACAAATTAAATAAAATAAAAATTAACGGGTTAACAAAAGGTCAAGTTTCCGAAAAAAACGCTTAAAAACGTATATTTTATTTTGTTTTTTTACATATTTTAAGATTTTTTAAAAATGTATACAGGGTGTTTCGAAAAATCTGGTCATTGATTAATCACCATCCTGCTTAAAGCGCTTGACGTAAAAAGCTGATTTTTGGAAAACGGATTGACTTTAGGGTGTAGAAGGTAGGTGTGTTTTCGAAAAAAAATAACTCTTAAACACGTATATTTTATTTTGTTGTTTTACATATTTCAAGTTTTTTTAAAAATGTATACAGGGTGTTTCATAAAACATGACCATTGAGTAATTACGATTCTGCTTAAACTGCTTGACGTTTAAAGCTGATTTTTGGCAAATGGATTGACTGTGGGGTGTAGAGGTTCGATAAGGAGGGGTTTCTCGAATCTCAAATTCCAAGAGGGTGAAAACGCCCCTCAAATATTACAATATTTGTTATTTAAAAACGGTTAGTCTTTCGGAAAAACGCTTAGACACGCATAATTTATTTTGTTTTTTTACATATTTTGAAATTTTTTATAGTATAGCCATATTATTTTTTCTCATGCTGATATAAATGTGAGAAAATTTTATCCGGTTTGCATGTTAATGGAAATTGTTTTTTTTCTTTGCTTTGTCATCACCATTACAAATGATTAATTCGACGCGAACGAAGTCGCGGGTACACGCTAGTATAACATAAGGAAAAACAAGTATTTTTAACAAGCAATCTCTCCCACCTTTTTATGCACTTATACATATTCATCATGTATATTATTTGTTTTTCCTTAATTCAAATATATTAAACAGTAATTTCAAAAATCCTAATTGCATTTAAACATATTTGATCCGCCCCTGGTCGTCTAAAAAAATTATGTAATTTAAATATAAATATTTAAGATTTCGTGTTGAATAAAAGAAGACGCACTATTGCTCGATCTATATTTATAGAATTTTATTCGCAAAATGCGTCTTAATAACACATAAAAAATCTACGGTTCTCTGTTAAAAAATAGCTCGATGACGCAAAGAGAAACGATTTATGTTTCTTTTCTATCGCACGCCACTGGTATCCGCAAAGTATTGAACGATTTTCCCCATGTGGAGCGCGGAGTTCTCTCTAGAAGTGTTCTAACTTCTAACCGGCTTTGTGGTCTTGGTCTCGGTCTTATTTACATAGTAAATACTAAACTTATCAGGAAACTTATCGAAAATAGGGATTTCCGACAACTAAAGTGTGTTTTATTTTTAAAAATTCATTTAATTTTACCATAAAACCGGTAAGTTTTTATTTATAATTCATTTTTATTAAACTAAACAGTTTTATTTTCTCAAAATAAGAATACAATATTTTATTTTTAATTTTTACTGCTGTTCCTATTTTATTAAAAACGATTTCAGAATAGTAAAAATCACACGAAAAATAAACAAGCAGTCTAGCAGATAATACTATTGGCACATTGATACAGTTATTATACTATATTGACAGGTATTACATGCTTATTTCTTTTTTCCTTTAGGGAGAAATTTATTAAATTATCTAAAAATGGAACTATCTGTCAACACGCCAAATGTAAAATTGAGTGATAAATATATTGAAACAAAATATGACTATCAATACACGACAGCAGTACAAGACAGTAATAATATTGTGGTGAGTATGAGTTTTCCCTCTGTTTTTTAATTAATAAATGGGTAGTGAACTCTGTTTTTTTTAATAAAAACCCTGTGGAATTTTCCTAGGTAATCTATGTCAAAGAAAAATCAATACTGAAACTTCTAGATATAATTTATTGATGTTTAAATGCTATATTTTTTATCTATATTTGTTTTGTCGATTCTGATATAAAATGAATCACTTTTATTCTCAAATTTATATGATATTTTTCGTGATAATATTTAAATACAAATTTATTTATAATTTTGGACTAAAATTCATTTGTTATATTTGTTATAATTTTTTAAGTCAACCAATCCGTTTTTCGTATCGTCTTAAAATGCGATATAATGAATAAAGACTTAAATAAATTAATCAACTGATTAATAAGTATATTAAATGTACAGGGTGGGTCAAATTCGACGCTTTTAAATGGAATCACCCTTTTCTATAGGAGATAGACGAAAACTAATATAGGTGTCTGGAGCTCAATTTTCATCAAAAACATGATGGTGAAAACCGCACATCAATATCTGTTACCGTTTCGGAGTTACGGGGTGTTTTTCAAAAATGTGCATTCTTAACAAATCGCTGTAACTTTTTTGCTATGGAAAATTTTGAATTTCTATGAAAACATTTCCAAAGCACCTTTTTACGTAGAATTTAATGGTTTAAGTATATTTTTTTTAAAATTAATAATTTAAGAGTTATCAACAGAAAAATTGATTTTTTATTTGGGACACCCTCTATATTTTTAATTAACTCAGAAGAATTTAAAATTACCTTTCCAAAAATATAGCACACTTGATATTTTGTTATAACCCCTTTCGAAATACAGAATTTTTAAAAGTTTGCCACTTTTAACTAGTAGGCTTTGGACCCCTTATTGATAATATGCCCTTAATGGAACTCGAAAACATATTTTTCCAGCAAGACGACGCACCGCCTCAGAACGCTGTTATCAGCAAATTCTTGCAGCCAATTTCAAGAATAATTGAATAGCTAACCAAGATCTCAGCCGCTGGCCATCGAGGCCGCCTGACTTAGTGCCCATGGATATATTCGCGGAAGAATAAAGGTGCCTTATTCTTCCGTATAATCTAGACAAGAATTAGAAATACTTAGCAGTTATGAGAGGGTATCTTTCACCCCTACTGAGTTAATGAATTTCGCGAGAAATGTTCAAAAATGGCTCCGTCTGTCCATAAGAGAAGACGGTCGATATGTCGAACACCTGTAGCAAAATCTCATGTCTTAGTTTCTTATTTATTTTTATTGTTATCAGATATAATTTAAATGTGTTGATGTTTGTTAAATATATTTTAAATTGTTATAAAATTCTGCATCTCTCATAGAAAATATATTTTCGTTTTAATTGATGCTCACAGCTAGATTTTTTTTGCATTACAGCCGGTGCCACTTAAAGCCTACTTATTTAAAGCGGGCGAATTTTTATATACTCTATATCTCGAAGAGGAATCGAGCAAAATATCAAGTGTGTTATATTTTTGGAAAGGTAATTTTAAATTATTTTCAGTAAATTAAAAATATACAGTGTGTCCCATATAAAAAATCAAATTTTCTGTTGACAATTCTTAAATTATTAATTTTAAAAAAATTATACTTGCCCAACGATTTGCGGTGACGTACTCGTCAAGTCGACGTATAAAATATATTGCTGTTTATTTAAATGTTTTTTGTCCGCATTCCTTTCATAGACACAGATCCAGCAGACGGACTGTACATAATATTTTTGTTAGACATACAATTAATATTAATATTTATTTTTATGACTTTTTAGTTTCATGTTAGTAAATAATATAAGCTTTTAAATTGAATAACAATTTAAAAGATTTTTTTTCAACTTTTTAGAACCACTGGATTGATATTAATTCATAAAACCAGTAGTTCTCAACCTTTTTATTTGTCTACTAATATTTTTTGAGGTTAAGATTAGTATTAAGTATCAATTTTTTTTTGACAAAATTTTTTATTTTTATTTTTTTATGATTTGGCATTAAAAAATACATACAACCCTAAATTTTCACCCTTCCACCATCAACCCATATTTTTTAATAGCGATATTAGTAATTCAATAATTTTAATTTAAGAACAAATTGTATTTAAAAATTGTTAGAATAGCTTAAATTAAAAACGTGTGTATGATCGGGTATATATAGGTATACCAGGTATAATGGTATTTACCCAAATTCAATATACCATTTATTAACCCTTTGGGTATATACCGGGTGCAAAAACTTAGGTATTTACCCAAATTTTAATATATCGGGTACTTGCCCATCACTGTCTGCTAGTAACTTATAGAACCAAAAATATCTCGTTTTTAGGTTAACAACAACACTGAAAACTTGGTATTTCGAACTGAAAGAAAAGTTCCTAAACTTGGAGTGATGCTAGTGGGATGGGGCGGAAATAACGGAAGTACCTTTACCGCAGGTGTGATAGCCAACAGATTGGGTTTATCCTGGCCAACCAAACGAGGAACACAAACCGCAAACTGGTAATTTAATTAGTCTAAAAAAATAATAGTTAATGTCGAGCGTTCATTTAAATTTATCTTCAAACAGGCTTTAGAAATTCAAACGAGTTTTATATGCACGTGAGTATTGCCATAATAATTAGGAAATATAAAAAAATTAACCAGATGATACATATTCGTTTTCTTTTAGCCAGTGTTGAGACCACCATTTAACTGAACATTCGATAAAAAATATTCTAAATCTTTCATTAAGCCCGGTTGGGACACGGTCCAAGTGTACTTGGACTAACTATACCGGGTGCGTCTCGAAAGTGGTTCACCCTTATAACTTTGTTATTTTTTGAAATGAAAAAACGAGGTTGGGTATGTTAGTATATCACATAAGTTAGGTTTGATTGACGTATTCAATTGTTTTTGGTCACTTCCTGTTTCACCGGAAATTACTATAACTTTTGTTTTTTAAACGACATTCTTGGTATATTTCTACTTTATTTGATAGAAAATGACACTCTGAATAAAATTATATATCATATATATGTCAGCTATTGATATTTTTGCTTAAAGAAACGTATTTTAAATTTCAATCTAGAGTGCCACGGCTGTGTTAAAAACACTAATTTATAATCAAGGAGCCTTGGAAAAATAATGTTGATCGTCTAATGTTTTTCGTGTCTTGTCCTGGCCGGTTAAAAGATGCATAAATCGTATTTTTAATCATATCTCAATTTTTTCATATGGAACAAGGGTGGCTCATTAAGGTTGATTCTCACTATACCTTCCGTTTCCATTCCTTATCCATTCCATATTTTTTATTGTATTGACGCTATACGTAAGCTTCCGTTCTGTATCAGTTCCATACTTTTTATTGTACAATTTATATCATTACAAAAGTTTTATTTAAAAAATTTGCATCTTTTGAAAAAGGTAATAGATTTAATTAACAGAGGTGAAAGAATAAATAAATATCAGCAAAATGTTAACAAAGCCAAATGTAAGAATTTGACATCGCATTTTCCGATACGCTTTAGTCCGCTTTACGGTTGATTCTCACTATACCTTTTATATCAGTTCCATTCCGTTTCCCTTCCGTTTACATAAAATATTATATCATGTAAATGAATAGGACAATGCACACTATCCGTTCCGTTTCCCTTCCGTTCCATATCCTTTCCTTCCATACATTTTTTTGACGGATGGACAGAAGCATAACGGAAACAGGGTTGTCAAGTTCTTACATTTGTACCATCAGCTCTGTTAACATTTTGCTGATATTTCTTTATTCTTTCACCTCTTAATTAAATCTATTACCTTTTTTAAAAGATGCAAATTTTTAAAATATAACTTTCGTAATGATATAAATTGTACAATAAAAAGTATGGAAATGATACGAAACGGAAGCTTACGTATAGCGCGAATACAATAAAAAATACGGAACGGATATGGAATGGATATGGAATGGAAACGGAAGGTATAGTGAGAATAAACCTTTAGTCCGCCAAAAAAAGGTATGGAAGAAAAGGATATGGAACGGAAGGGAAACGGAACGGATAGTGTGTATTGTCCGTGTGTATTTACATGATATAATATTTTAATTTTATGTAAACGGAAGGGACAAGGAAGGTGGCTGATACGGAAGGTATAGTGAGAATTAACATTTAGCATATTTGGAAAAAAAAATTACGAATAATTTGGTACCACACACTTGGTATTTCGAGTCAAATTATCGTTATGAACCGCTTGATACAATTTCAAATAAACCATATGCGAAAAAGTTAAAAGTTGACATATGATATGTCATTCTGTTCAGAGTGTCATTTTCTACCGAATAAAGTAGAAATATATCGAGGGTGCCATTTAAAAATCAAAAGTTGTGTTTTTTCAATTTCCGGTGAAACAGGAGGTGACCAAAACAATTGAATACGTCAATCAATCCTAATTTATGTCATATACTAACATACCAAGCCTCGTAAGGGGTCAGCCACTTTTGAGACGCATCCGGTATATGTATACCTATATGGATGCTGTGCGTGTCTCACTTGCTGTTTCTATCGTATAAACTGTTTTATCCAAATGGAGCTGGAAAGCTTCGTAACATCCATGTAGACTGATTGGTCAACTTATTTGGATGTTGCTGTTCTGATTAATGTTCTGATAAATTCATGGTTGCAACTCAACTTGGATAAAACATTTGATACGATAGTGAGACGCGCACGGCATATACTTATATTGCAGTATCCAAGTGCACTTGGACCGTGTCATCCCGCCTTTAGACTTAAGATGCATCACTTACAAACCTACTTTGGTTAGTACAACTGTTAGATTCACAAGTAAAATGAACGAATCTATTCTTTGACAAGGTTTGGCTCCGTTACCCAAGCCTCCACAGTTCGAATTGCTGACGGCGTCTACCTTCCGCTCGCACGCCTACTGCCCACGGTAAATCCCAACGATATAGTCATAGACGGCTGGGACATCAGCGGTAGCGATTTGGCAGAGGCCACGGAAAGGGCCCAAGTGCTCGAACCGGCCCTTCAGCAACAGCTCAAACCTTATTTGAGCAATCTGAAGCCGAGACCGGCTATATTTAATCAGGAATTTATTGCCGAGAATCAGGTTAATATGATATATTTGTGTTTTTAATCTGATGGTGCCTCATCTTGGCGGATAATAAATTGTCCAATAAGTGTACTAATTCGTTGACGTATGTTTTTCGTATTAACAAAAATTAGCTTATGGTATTATTGTTTTAACAACGTAAATACATTTGTAATATGTTAACATTGAACTCTGGTTTGCATATGTATATAGGCAAATAATGACGCAATTTCACATATTTATGTACACACTATCTAGAATATCATATAAAATTCCAATGGTTTTTATATTGTAATACAGGGTGTCCCAGAACTAAGTGCAAGTATTTTAAGGGGTGGTAGATCTGATCAAAAGAAACATATTTTCTCTTTAGCATTTTTAAAATAAATTGAAAATAACCGAGTTATAAGGCTTTGAAAATTAAAAAAAATTGGAACATTTTGGGAACCGCCGGCGCCGGCAGAAGCCGGTAACTACCATCTGTGCTACTAGCCTAGCTTTTCCAAATAAAAAGTGTTGCTTACGATCCAGAGCCTCGCAATGTATTATGTGCTCCGCTGTTTCAGGATCTTTATCGCAGAGTCTGCAGCAAAGACTTCCTTGATACAGGTTGAGCTTGTTCAGGTAACACTTGACAGCCATGTGTCTTGTCAAGAGGCCTGTTGTAATCCGCACTTTATTCTTGCTAAGCATTAGCAGTTCTTTTGTGGTTTTAGAGCTAGGTCCTTGGATAAAAGTCTTGCTGTGTCTGGGCCCCTGTCTGTTTCTCCAGTGGACATTCTGCTTTTCCCTGATCCAGAGTTTTATCCAAGCGGTTACCTAGAGATACGTTTTTAGAGTAGCTATTATACCACAAAATAATTTAAAAAGAAAAAGCTTACCTAGTATTAAAATAGGATACCGGTAGCAGTGCTTAGCCACAGCTTGTAAAATACTTAGGGTTCTTTTTCATTTTACTACTCTGCCTAAAAACGCAACAACACTAAACTGAAATACACTTCACCTCACTGCGCTTCTGACAACAGTAAGCTTAATTAAATTTCACTTGAATATGGTTCTAGACAGCACTATACTCAAGTACAGTTTGCTTCTTGAAGTCAGTTAAGTTTTCGTTCTTTATGATCACTGAATTTAAATCCGTAAGTCCTCAATTTGATCCTCAGTAAATAAACATTTCAACAATTACAAATTTCACGAAGAATTTAAATTCCTTCGTTTTTCTTTTTGAATTGTGTAATCCATTTGTTATAGAAATATCTGTTATTTTGATGATTCAAAATAACAGATATTTTTATTTAAATAATAGAACTATGTTTATAGGTTTATTTGCGTTATTTTCTTTAGAAACCATTAAAGTGTTGAATATTTGTAGATAACAGAGCTAATTCTTTTGAATAACCATTGCATGCAGAGTACTAGTAATGTAGGACGTGGCAACATTGCATTTTCTATATGCACCCTAAACTAATTTCCGCACAATGAACAGTGGCACTCAAAAGTTTTTTAACATTTTCCGGAAAATGTCAAGAAAGATCTAAAATTTTCAACATTCTTTTTGAATCACATGTCTTACTACATCCAACCAGCTGATCAATTTTTTTACCGTTTAAATTAGGACAACAGACTCACACAAACATTAAGCATCCATTCCCAGAGCTAGATTCGAACCAGCAACCTTGTGTTTTCTGATAGGAGCCCTGATAGCAGCGCTATCATTTCGGCCACTAGGTCGCCTGTTTTACAGCTATGGTTCCAATTATACTAAAAAAGCAAAATAACCTAAAATTTAAATATTTTTAGTACTAAAATTTTTATTAATTCAAAAATTGCTTTGAAGGCAAAAAATATTATTTGCAGAGTACACATATGTAAACTAGAGTAAATTCTGTAGCGAGTTTGTAATAAATATTTTACTCAAATTTTTTGTTTAGAAATCAAGAGCCGATAATGTGCTTAAAGGATCGAAATATGAACAAGTACAACAGATCATGAACGACATTGATGATTTCAAAGCTAAGGAAGGCTTGGACAAAATTATAGTGCTGTGGACAGCAAATACCGAAAGGTTTAGTAGTCTCTTGGAAGGAGTAAATGACACACTTGCAAACTTGAAAGCCGCCATTAAAAGCGGCCATGAGGAAATATCTCCTTCTACGTTATTTGCATTCGCCGCAATATCTAAAGGTTGCACGTATATTAATGGTTCACCACAAAATACCTTTGTTCCAGGACTCATTGAATATGCCGAACAGGAAAACGTTTTTATAGCTGGTATGGTAAACCTTAATCATCTCCTCTAAAATAATGTAATGCTTTTTAATTGTTATTTATAGGTGATGATTTCAAATCTGGCCAAACCAAAATAAAGAGTGTACTTGTGGACTTTCTGGTTAGTGCTGGCATCAAACCAGTCAGTATAGTCAGTTACAATCATCTTGGAAACAACGATGGAAAGAATCTTAGTGCACCTGAACAATTTAGATCTAAAGAGGTATAATATTAATTTTTCAATTTCAGTAATTTGATTGTATGGCTAAATCTTTGCTTTGTTTTTAGATATCAAAAAGTAATGTTGTTGATGATATGGTTGAGTCAAACAGTATTTTATTTAAGCCTGGAGAGAAACCAGACCACGTTGTTGTTATAAAATATGTTCCTTATGTTGGTAAGCATTTTTAGAGATTGTAGATTGTATAGGAGGGGGAAAGTTGATCATTGCGACCTTATAGATCTATTGTGTCCTCCTTTCTTGAGGTTATAACTCATGATACAGTACTCCATCTTCGATATCAATCGTACCAAAGTTTATGGCACGAATGGCTGTCGTCTCGGAGTACTCAGTGATGAGGTGTTCTAGTGTTTTCCCTACAGTATCTTCATTTGCCGTTGTTTCTTAGCTTCAATCTATTGAGGTATTTATTGAGGAGACATTGTCCTGTTAAAAAAAACCGTGACGATCCGAAGATTGTTCTTATTTAAATCAAGAAATAATATTTGATTTTTCTCGGTCGTAAGTCCTGAGAAAGTTCTTCGACTGTCTCAGGACATTGGGAGATTCCTATTCCAGGTTACGGATGGAGGTTCCATGTACTTGAATTTCGCTTTAAGTTGGTTTCCACTTGGGAAGCAGAACAGTTATGGTCCTGTTAGTGGAACGTTCGCCCCTTTTTGTAGCTAGATGATTTTCTTTATCATTACCTTCTATCCCTTTATGGGCTGGCACTCAGATAGGAGTACTTTACTTTCTTTGCTTAATTTGTTCAACTTCTTATTTTTTATAGAATCATACAACAAATGAGCCCCACGTTGGGCGCCAAAAGTTGCGGCGTGTTTTTAAATTCAAAGTTCAATAAAACACAAAGTTTATTTGGTCAGAATGAGTCGCATAGAGGCCACTAGCTTTTTAATTTTAACAGCCGGGTGGTCGGGGTTTGAGATCTTAATAAAAGGGCGCGACGAGATTATACTCTATGAACTAAATATAAAAGATGGAAATATTAATGAAATCTTCAACACTATCCTCGAACTGTTTTCTTGTTATGGTTTTTGTAATAAAGCTTGTTTATTCTTTTTAGGTGATTCAAAGCGTGCATTGGATGAATACACATCAGAAATCATGATGGGTGGACTGAATACCATAGTCATTCACAATACCTGCGAAGACTCTTTGTTGGCTTCGCCATTAATTTTGGACTTAATCATTCTTGGAGAATTATTTACCCGGATCCAAGTGAAAAGACAGGACTGGTCTGACGACAAATACACAGGATTTCACCCAGTTCTATCAGTTTTGAGTTATTTGTGCAAGGCCCCTTTGGTAAGATTTTTAATTTAGTTTAAACTTGAGATATAGATTTAAAAAATGTTTTTGTTTGAAGGTTCCTAATGGTACACCAATTGTAAACGCCTTATTTAGACAAAGGGCATGCATAGAAAATATCCTAAGAGCGTGTGTTGGGCTCCCTCCAGATACATGTATGACTTTGGAACACAGACTACCATTTTTGATACCTGCCGTTGCTGAAGAACCCAAAACAAAGAAACTGAAACTGGCCAATGGTCACTAAAAATTTATTTAATAATTGATTATTTTATAAGTATTACAGTTTTTGTATTTATATATTCACACACGTTTGGACTCAGGACATACTATTATTTCTTATATCAATTATATGATATTCCATATTATGTCAATTATATGGTTATTTGTTTTTTTTTTGTTATTAATAAACAAATAATATATAATTTAAATTACCTGTAGGTATAAATTAAAATACAGTGTAAAAAACATAGCATTTCCTATAAATATACAAATTTATAAATTCAATTCAGTATTTAATGTTATTCATATTGAGTCTATTTTTATAATTCATTAATATTTGTTATAAATTGTTTAGATTTATGTCTAAAATAATTAAAATTATTTATTTTTTTTTATCATTAAATCCCCCTGCAAGGCTTTAAATAATATTTATTATTTGTACTTAAGTTATTTTGGAAGTCATTCATTATTTCTGTAGAAATTAAGTAATAAAGATATAGGGAAATTAAAATAACTTTCGTTGCACATCATAATACGACCACCAGCAAACTCCAGAAGACGACGCATGGCGTCATTGATGACGTGCGAAGAAAGTTGTTCCAATTTCCCTATATGTTACAATTATTTGTGTTATTCATGTATGTATTTTTTTATTTTAAAATTAATTTATATAAATACACTCTCTAGCAGTAGCAAAACATTTTTTTTGGCTGTTAATAAAATCGAAAAAGAAAAATGGTTTACTTTTAAGAAAATCTTATAGGGTTTTAAAACATAATTTATATTACATTTTTATGTACAGCCGTTCATACATTGATAAAATTATTATAAGAATTTAAATAAAATAAAGTTCATGCAAAAAGAAAGTCATATTTCTTAATAAAAAAAAAATAAAAATAAAAAGAATAAAAATTAAAAAAAAAATACAAAATTTATCACAGAACTTCAATACGCTGTTTCACTTAAGTCGTCATTTGTTTAATTTGTTTCTCCAATGTGTGTGCCTAGTATATATGTTATTTTCAGTTTGTCTCGGCCTTATTTAGTCTCTTCAGTCAAACCAGAAACAACATCTTTTTCTCCTTAAGTTCAGTTACAATTTTTTTTATTTTGTACATGGTTTGATTTTTTTTATTTATTCTTGGTAGATAAGTATATTTTTTGTATTTGGTATTTTTGATTTTTTTTATATCTGAAATATCAACTTTCAGAACAGCAAAAAATGGAATATACGTATGGAACAGAAATGTTACATATTCTTCATTCCTTGTCAATGTAATCCGCAGGGCCGGCGGAAGGGCCGGGCGACGGCCCGGGGCGCCGAATGTGAGGGGCGCCACGCCAACAACTAAAATATTTAAAAAAAATTGTTCGTGGTATTTTACTTATAACTGAAAAGCTATCAACTTTTTGTAAATAACCCTTCTTTCTATAATTCTTGTTTTAATAAATTTTCTCTAAACAAACTGTTTTGGGTCAAGGCCAGCAAAATTGACAGTTTTAGACTGTTGTTGCTCAAAATTGCATTTTGTCTACTACCCACACCCTTAATGTCTACTACCCACACCCTAAAATTATATGAGATAAATATTCATTCGCAAGAAGCTAAATAGGATCCCGATATCCTTATTATCAAAAAAAAGCTTGCAAGTTTGCCTCATTAATTTATTAACAGTAATGGGAAAAATATCAATCTTTTGGTGATTTTGATTGTTCTGTTTCTGTTTGATGCCTGTTTAAGCACTAGGTGTAATTTAAATAATTTGATGATTATATGCGTAAATGCTTAGTATTTGAAGGAAAAGAACAAAAAGTGATATGAGAACGGTTTCAAACTTCTTGAAATGGAATGCCTCCTGCTGGAGACTGCGTTTTTTTTTAGATTTTTCCAACGGTGTTCTAACAGTCGTGCCAAGTAATTTTTGTTAAATCTCCTAATTTGGTTACCCATTTCTGTAATAAATTATTTAAGTTTTAATACCTAATATAACATTTTTTTAGTAGAGAGTCGCATAAAGCTATACTCTTCGATATGTTTTCAAAATGTTATAATATAGCCCTTGAGACAAAAAAAATGGCATCGAAAAATATTCACAAAAGATCGACAAATTAACATGTAATCGTTTAGAGTTAGCTAATTTGCTTTATAACAAAATTTTAATCTATTTTTGTATTATTTTCACTAGCGACGCAACCTAAGCGCCATCAGTTTCTCCTTTTAGATAGGTTTCCATTTCCCAACTTTGGAGAAAGATAATTGCTCCGATTATGAAAAAAAACATAAACTCTATGTGTTTCTCTGCAGTAAACGTTATAACCTAATATAACTTTCCATAGCAAAAAAAACTAGTGAACAAATTAGCTATGAATATTCCAATCATAATATTATCAATAGAATTTAATTTCGGGTATTTTATCTACAGTGATTTCACGTGCAATATTAAATCAAATTGATATAAGGAAAATACTATGACGGCAAAAAACATGAATTTTTCCCCTGATTCATCGCCTCATACGGCACTGTACTTCTAATGTAAAACAGAAATAACTTAACAGATATAAATTGAGTATCACTCCGCTTGCAACAGCATGCCACTGGAATCAAGGTCCGTGTGACTTTCCAACAGCTTAGTTTGGATGGTAAAAAGGGATGAATCACGCGTAAACATTCGTGGTTTTCATCATACCACATATAGTGAGCTTATGTTAATAGTAATTAATAAAAGTCAACTTACATCTACTTCTTTTTAGTATCAATGTAATTCTGAACTCGTTCTGGCTGACATCAAAATAACTGTACTCTTGAGGCCTTTGGATAGCCATAATGGCCAATTTTTAAACAATTTTTAATAGCTAACAACATGCAAAGCCAAATTTTTAAATTAATAATTTGAATACTAAACAACAAACTGTGTCGGACGGCAAATAAACTGCCAACGTCAATCATATTTTCCAAACGCTAGGCTCAAACGCGAATTCGGCCGTATAAACTGCCAACGTTAGTTCAATGTAATCATATTTTGCAAACGTTAGACTCGAATGCTTGCGACTTTAGCCGAATATCGTATTACGTTGGCAGAATATGAATATGCTTCCCGGACGCAAACGGTACATTGTGAGACAGGAAATTGTAGAGAGAAACAAACCCTATAACATAGATTACAACATTTTAATGAACAGTGCTTTCCATAAAATCAATAAAATGAATAATATACGAAATAATATACATGTACTGATTTCTTTCGAAAATCGACAACGATGAAACTATGATCCCTTCCCGGACACAAACGGTACATTGTGAGACAGGAAATTCTAGAGAGAAACGAGCCCTATACAATTACCCCTCCCAGAAAGAAATTAATTAATAAGATAAAATTTGGTATAAAATAAAATTGTTACAAAAAAGTTAATAATACAAATATATATACCAAAAACAGAATATCCAAACCAATCCAAGTAGATTTTTTCTACAGTTACAATACCTTCCAGCAAAAATTTAATTCAAATTTAGTACTTTTTTGAATATTCACACTACCCCTCCCAGACTCAATCTCTAGATGCGCCACTGTACCAACAGGTATGGTAGGCTATTAAGATCGGCAAAAAAAGTTTTTTAAATTTCACTCAAAATGAGTTATTTGAGCCATAAATGACCTAAATACAAAATATTTTCATGGTGTCTGTCTGTCCGTCCGTCTGTAACACGATAACAGAAAAACCTCTAAACCAATTTTAACCAAATTTGGCACAAAAATACTGTGGCACCCGAGAATCTGGCCATTAGTTTTTGGTGGGGGTATGGGAGGGGGTTAAAAATTTTAAAAAATCGTAATTCCAAAATTACAGTAGCTAGCGAAACGCGGTTTTCAATTTAAGATTAGGAATAATATTTGCAACAAAATTTGTAATAACATCAAAATCAGTCGCAGTTTTTGAGATAATTGAAACTAAAAGAACTGCCTACCAACTTTTTATTAACATATTTTAGTATTTTAGTAAATTTTTATTAACATATTTTATACGTGCCTCCCGGCGTCAATTTTTTACTACCCGAAATAGCGTTAATGCCACAAATCTCGTACCTGAGTGTTTTATAGTCTCAATAACTGCACTGGCAAAGACATACAAACATATACTGCAAAATAAAACACTAAATCACCACAATACACCAAAACACTTTTAGTTTTACACTGGACGCGCGTTTCGCTAACCATGTTAGCATCATCAGCAGACAAGCCGTTGAAGCGCTGCGGTCGAAATGGATGGATACTCCTGGCGCCTGTACTAAGGATACTACATATGGCATCTAACCGTTCACCGTCCAAGAAAAATGCCGACTTCATTTATTTGTCTTTGAATTTTGTTGGTATCTGGAATAAAGAGATAAAATAGTAAAATTAAAATTGTCCGATTGATAAGAGACGCCGAACTACTGGAGCGTCCGATTTGGCGCCGGCGCCGCCGCCGTGTCGGAATTAAAAAAAAACTTACTATTTTCTGAAAAGGACGCTATTACTTTATTTTTTAGTTAGTATCTTCTTTGAATCTAAAAAAGGAAATGAACATGCAATACGCTTGAGCATTAGCACCCGCTGAAAATTTTTGAATTCTATATTATTGCTGTATAACTGGTTACCTAATATAAAGGCGGTTTATTTAAAATCTATATTTAAAATCGCTTGAAAGGACACAAATTCTAATTTTAACTTGCCGAAAACTCAAATTACGAGTGTCAATATAGGTTTTCAGTTCCCTATACGCATAATGTCCAACAAAACATACAAAGTTGTACGGAACAGTGTTCTCGGCCGGTAAGTTTTCCATTCTCATAACAGAAAAATGCATTTTTTTATTTAACACCCTGTAACTATAATTGAAAATGTTATTACTAATGCAGAAAAATAAACTATGTATATTTTATTATAAAAGCAATAAATTTTAATAAAATTAAAAATATTTACTTATAATTTTTTAAAGTTATATGGTAGCCAGTAAAAATCTGAAACAAGGACAGCTCATTTTTAAAGAAAATCCCCTTTTTCTCGGACCACAATTAAACGGACCCGCAAGATGTTTTAAATGTCTGAAAATTATCGTATTGTCCAGATGTTGCTATTGTTCAGGATGCGATACTGCTTTGATGTGCACTAATCAGTGCGAAGGTAAGAAAATACTAGAAGAATATATTTTTAGTACCGAAAGGTTAGAAGGTTGAGTCCTGTCCTGTATACACTAATTAGCGGTGCACGTTTATTATTTTTCTTGGCCAGGTAATTTAGCGCAAGTGAATAATTCTCAAAGAAAACAAAACAAGTAGGACCTAAAATAAATTGTATTTTTAGAAATTGCAATAATAAATCGATATTATAGTTATTTATTTACTAAAATTTTTAAGAAACATTACATTTACGGTTGAACAGATTATTCTTTAAAAAATACTATTTATCCAGTAAAATTGTATCGCCGTATAGAGAGTGAAAAAAAAATTACGGGCAAGCTGATTTTTTCAGAGTTTGTCAGCGAATGTCTTCTGAGTGTAAAATTAACAAAATCGGAAATTTTCCCCTTGCGGTTTTTGAGCAATAGGGGTGGTTTTTTAAAACTGTACTACAACAAAATTGCTTGTTGACGGTAAGGTTGAAGCGGCAGCTGATAATGGTAGTAAAGGGGTAACATCGGGGAGATAATTATTATTGCTTGTGGATGGTATGGCTAAAGTGACGGCTGAAAGGGGTAGTTTCGAGGCTCGTTTAGTTGGGGGATAATTACGCAGTCTAGTATTTTTACATTAGGTTTTCTTTGATTACAGGGAGCTTCATATATTAGATTAGGGGGTACAATTTTGCTACATGAGGGTTTGCATGCCTCTGTAATTTCCTCGGTATTTTCCGTAGAAGGCTCGGTAGAAGGCTTTTTTAGAAATGAAGTTATTTTTGGTTGTGCCTCAGAGGTATTTGAAGAATTATTGCTTACTTCTGATTTAACCTCGGATTTAACATTGCGATTATTACTAATTTTTGGTATAAATAATTTATTTGTTATATCAAAATGCTTTATCAAGTGTGTTTGAAAATTTGAGCTTACCCAGCGTGCCTTTGTAACTCTTGTTTTTGTGCTTTTTGTAGAGGGATGATATTTTATTTGTAAAGTTACTTGCTTTTTACAAAAGCAGGTTATTTTGCATATTAAAGTTAATCCCGAAATCGAGTTTGCCTCGAAGCTTTGCTCGAAGTTTGCAGTAGAATTTGGAAGTAAAATTGATGTGCTAAAAATAATGTTATTAAACAGACTATTGCAGTTTAGTTTCCTCCAGAGTTCATCACCAATTTTGGACTTTAACCATTGCTTTAGTATTTTAGAAACTATATTATTTTCTTGGGTATAATCAGTTTCCAAAACATGTAGAGTGGTATCTTCTGAAAGACTTCCAGAACTAAACGATTTTGTCAAAGCACCTTTAGATTCCAGATATTTTTCAGTATTAGCTTTAGATGTACTTGGCGCTAGAAATATAGATATTTTTCAGTATTAGCTTTAGATGCAAATGGACTAGAAATGATGCAATCAGCGTTGCCAGATGTCCAACAAAATATCTGTTTAATACCAGTTTAATACCAAATAATATCAGTTTATTACCAAATAATACCAAATTAGTACCAAAAAAATACCAGTATTACCAAGTGCTTGTACAATAAATACCACCAGCGGTTTGTCCCTCCTAAAAAACTAAATAATTACTAATTAAAACTAAATAACTACAAATTGTTTAAGAAATCATCAAAATTGGTCAACCAGAACACAATATATATAAGTGTATTATTTATTTAGTGTATTTAATGGGGATTACTACATCGTTGTTTATATTTTCTTTCGTCATTTTTGAGGATTTTCAAACATATTTAAAATGATTTTAAAGCCTATAAAAATATCACATTTCTGTGTTCTTTTTAGACATACGGTGACGCATACATTCATTTTATTTGATTTCTGAAAACAATAAAAATACTAGAACAACTAGAATCACAGACAAATTATTTAAATGCATAATAATATAGCAGTATATTAATATTAATATTATAATTGGCAGTTAAAAAACGATTTAACTAAAGGAGCTATGTTTTAGAATACCCTCTTAATTTATAAATAACGGATTAGGAACATTTAACAAATTTTTTTATTGAATATACAAAGTGTTTCAAAGAACATGTGCCACCTCAGATAGGAAGCTTCCTCACGTAAAAATAACATTTATTTTTTATATCAACATAGGGCACGATTCTGCTTTGTTTCGTAGCGATACTTATTTTATTAGACTTATTTTTTTTTTCAATTTATTATAATTTTCTTCCAAGTGCTTTTAGCGATTCGAATAAAATTTTGAGGGTAATATGTGTTACTATAAGCACAGATTATACAGATTATAATCTTTGTTTTTTCTTTATTGTTCTTCGTGGTTCCAATTTTCGGAATCGGGCACTAGTTAGGTGACTAGTTTGCGCACATAACACGCCCACTTATGGCCTCTAAAATTGTGCACAGCGCCTGACCGGCACAGTTATTAGAGAGATATCGGAAAACCGAATAGCGTCATCCAGTTTTTACGCGTACCTTATCATGGTTACGATATGCGCGAGTCAATTTTTAACGCAACGCCCGCTAATGACGTAATTTGCGGATCAATTACACTAAGCGCTCTTTTTAAATAACCTATGATAACGTTTAAAAATTGCTTAAATTGGCATGTGCCGGTATTTGACAACCAGAGCCGGCCGGCGAGATCTTTTAATTTAGGTTATGTTTGAATTGTTTTGAATTATTGCTTTAGTTTTATTAGGTCATTTGATATTTAAATAGCTGGGATTAGTTTTAATTAAATAAATATGCCTCAAAATATGGATTCCACCTCTTCCAATACTAAAGAACCTATAAAGAGTCTTAGGTTTACAGCAGATGACGACTTAGCCCTTCTAAGAGAATTTGTTGCTTGTTGCCCTAAACCCACTGGCAGACTTTGAACAATAAAGCACTGGAAATAAGTACTTTAGCCCTTTAGTTTTAAAATACCTAGTAAACAAAACAATTTCAAAGTTTTAAATTCAAAGTTAGGTTAAGTTTAAATAGCGGACGCGACGCGGTCAGAATTCTTTCCAATCCGATAACTATAAATGAAGAGAGTTAATACCACATCACGTAAAGGAAATAACACCTGGCCTTTTTTTTAGCGATATCTCTCTATTACGCTGTTTATTGTTATTTTACGCGAGTTTATTTTTGCGCACAGGAAATTTGACTCGTTTGCACATCGTCATAAAAAACAATTTTCGTACCACGAATTAGGGACAAGATTTTTATCTGCATACTTATAGGATACCTAATCTGTGCTATAAGTATGAAATATTTTACTGCTAAAAAGGCAGTCACCGGGGACATATGGGTTATCACTGCAATATTTTTCTAAAAAATCATGTGCGTCACTGATTTTTTTGTCTCTTGTTAGCAAAATTGTGTAGGGCCTTTAATTCCAATTAAAAGTTGCATTTTTTATATTTTGTCGATTTCGATCTCCTTGATGCGATACACGCAATTTTATTATTTTGGTTTTATTTTTTCGCTTGTAGATTACAAAAATATTAAGCCTACTACTAGTAATCACAAAACTTCAATCTATTTCCGTATTGTAACGAAACTATAAATTATACCTTCATCTTCGAAAAAATTTAGTCCAAATATAAAAAATATTTGTTTGATGTTTGACCATCAAAATCTTAAAAATAAAGAAGTTGTCCAAACATGTGCTACAATACGGATATAGTATAATCCTTTATCTTTAATTTCCTTCTTCATTTGTGTAAAAATACCTAGCCAGTTTTACATAAAACGTTAAATGCCGAATGCTTATTTTGCTACTTTTTCGGACTAGTGAAATGGACTCTCAAGTGTCTAATATTACTCCTGTATACAAACATACTCTGTACTCGTATATAATATCAATGAAATGGTTAAAAAGTATGGCTTATTATCGGTCTTATTATATTTCAAATGTGATTCCTTCAGAGGTTTGTTAATTTTTAGGCAAATACCACAGTAAAATAGAATGCGCCACGTTAAAATCGCTCAACATCAAGGGACAAATTATAATGGAGAATAGTCCTCTTATATTCCCACTAAGGTGCCTTTTGTTGAGGAAGTACGACGTAGAAACATACAAAAGATTGTTAGATTTAGAACCCCATTTGGAAGCACGTCGTGACACGGCCATATGGAGGCGTCACAGGATTGCCGTGGAAAATGTGATGCAGGAGATGAATTTATTGTCGGAGGACGATATAAAAGATGAGCTTATACAGAAAATATGTGGTATTCTGGATATAAATACATTTGAGGTAATATTTCCTATTGTACAGGGTGAGTCAACGATAGAGTTAGTCCGTTATCTCATTTGTTTGGAAATTTACAAACATATTTAAATAGTCGGTAATATCCCATGCAGCACATCAAATCACATTTACGTGTGTTTACATTATTAGATGTAGACACAGGGTGACATAATTCCCCCGATGTAAATATGCTACGTTTACACATTGTAGTTCAACACGTATGCAAAAAGGTTAAACGTCCGCCTCACAATGTAGCCACAGTATAGCATTTAAGTATACACAAAGTAAGGGATACACAGTGTGTCGTAGGATACACAGTGCTTGTGTATTACGTTTAAACTATGTTTACACATTGCAGTTGTGATTACCTGCAATGTGTATTTTGCTTCGTATATACATCTTGTGCTAGATAAAACTACTTCTTATGAACGAATTTAAGAAATAATACAAGTTTTGATGCCTAACTTTTCGTTCTTTTTAAAAAATATTTATTCAATGATACCAATTATATCTTTTTAGAACGAAAATTAGGAAGGCAAAACTTTGTATTTTTCAAAAGCATCTCGATCGTAAGTTCAAGAGAAGTAGCCTTAAAATTGTTCCATTTTTGTTTTGTATTAAATGTACCATTTTTCTTCCATAAAATGGATTAAGTGGTTAAAAAATAAAATTCATATATTTCTTTTTATCATGGAACGCAATAGCGCAAATAACACAATAATAATAATTATTTACACTGCAGAAACCAGAAGTAAGAAAACACTGTAAAAGAACAGAATTTGTATCAAAGTGTATTAAAAATATAAGTACCTAGTAAAAATGGTAAAAAAAAACTAAAATGGTAAACACTGGTATATCGCCACAATTTGGTGGACCTCGTTTAGTCATTTTTTTCTCCTCTTTAATATTATTTAAAAAATAAATTTAAATATTTGAAAAACTATTAATTTTAGGTTATAACATTATACAGGGTGTCCCAGAAATAAGTTCAAGTTAATTTAACTGGTTAGTATAGTTCAACTCCAGAATCACGCCTATGAGGTTTTTTTCGCGAAAATTTTTTTTTGAAATTTCGAAGTTTTTTGAAAATGTTTTTGGATTTTTTTTAGTTTTTAGTTAAAAAACATAATTTCTTGACTATATCGCAACATAGGTAATAGATTAAATTTACAAGAAAGAAAATCCAGAAAAAATGCAGTGGTTCTCAAAATTTTAGCAAAAAATCATTTTTTTTGGAAATTTTCAAAGTAAAATAACTCCGTTATTTTGGATTTATTTGAAAAACGACAAAGAGAAAATATGTCTCTTTTATCGAGATCTACCACCCTTTAAAATACCTGCACTTATTTCTGAGACACCCTGTATATAGTTACAAAAAAAGTAGTTAACGAAAGAAAACATAAATTAAAGTTAGTTTTTAGTTTTTTAGTTTAATTTTACGCAGAATCTAAAAATAAAATAAAATATAGGGTGTTTCATTTAAAAAAGCATATAACCGTCACACTTTTTTGAAGGACGCTGTATACTGTATAATAATTTTAAAATATGCATCTTAATATTCCCTATAACTTTTCTATTTAACATTTTTTATAGTTCTCACAACAAATGAAATAATGAACTTTAATCTGCCGTTGACTCACCCTGATAGATGCAAGATAGCAAAGCTTGATTATACAGGGTGTATCAATATTCCGTGGACATAATGGGTGGAACGTATTTTTGGGATCTAATTAAATTCAATAGATACAATTTAGCTCTATACAAAAGTCCCTCGTTTGTCCGTTAGAGGGAATCAAACTTTATAAAAATAAACACATCTTTTGAAATGTTTTAAGAACCGATATTCCGATCTCAATGAGATTTATGGAGTCTATGTTTTGCTGAGCCTTTTAAAATTTGACTTTCACAAAAAAGAAACAGAAAATATACGGGAAGGGTAAAAACTGCCCACACGCCTAAATAAATTTTAGTAGATATATTTTTCAACTCCAACGACTGATTATTCTTTTCGTTTGTGTCAGAATTTTTTTTCCAAAGCGGACCTACAAAATAAACAGGTAGTTTTAATATTCCGTGGACATTATAGAACAACTAAAAATTGGTTAAGTGCGTGTCGGACTCGCGCACGAAGGGTTCCGTACCATTCATTATCTATACAACATTAGACATTATATTATTATAATTTTTTTTCCGATTTAGCTGAAATTTTGAATGCGCGTATAAGAAATTTAAAAAAAATGAAGAAACACATTACTAAAAATTGAATTAATCAATAATAAATATTTAAAAAGTAAAAATAAATATATAAAAATTAAAAAAAAACGATTAAAAAATAGTCGCCTTGACTAGGATTTGAACCTGCCTTAGGTACTACGGCTTCAACGTCATAGCAGCGTAAAGTCCTAACGCTTTAACCACGCGGCCACCGAGGCCTTGAAAAATTCTATGTAAAATTCTTACTTAAAAGATCATATTTAGTGAAAGTACTTTTTTATTTATAAACATTTATTTAATTCTGTTTTTAGTATTTGTTCTTATAGCGGCAACATACATACATTAACTGTAAAAATTTCAACTGTCTAGCTATAACGGTTCATAAGATAGACCTTTGTGACAGACGGACGGACGGACGGACAGCGAAGTCTTAAGGTGCGTATTCATTATCCGAACGAACGAACGAACGAATGTTCGCTAGTGGTATGGACGGGGACCGTACGATAGAACCGCACGAGAAGACCGGAGGCATTTGTTGGCGAACGCCTTTGATGTACCGACTCGAAACGGATGGTCGAGCGAACGAACGAACGAACGGCCGCATGCGTTCGGTCCCCGTCTAAATACCGCACTTTCATTCGTTCGTTCGTTCGTTCGTCCGTTCGTCCGTTCGTCCGTTCGTTCGTTCGTTCGTCCGTTCGTTCGTTCGTTCGGATAATGAATACGCACCTTTAGTAATAGGGTTCCCTTTTTTACCCTTTGGGTACGGAGTGGAAGTATGGAATTTGGAACATAGCGGAATTGAGGAAAGTAAGAAAATTCTAGTTTTCCAAGTTAATTGCAAACTACTGCAATCTAAAAACTCACTTCCAATTCGTACAGTTTTGTGACATTTAACAAATAGGGCAAATAAAGCTTAAAATATAGTACTACATAAACAAGGGTACTACTATACTATATTTTAACTGGTTTTGAGTTCAATGATAGCCTTAAACTGAAAAACATGGTAACTTAAATAATTAATATGATTACGATGTTTTACTGAAATATTCCGTCATTACAGGGAATGACTGAGATCCACAGTCAAATAATGTACCAATTGAAGGCTTACGAATACTGAACATTCCTGTTATTGTTTTACTAGCGATATTTTCTGTTAACTGCATGACATTTTTTTATATTATTTAATCTGAAAACATTCCATTAATATTTCTTTCTATTAAAATTTTAGGTGCGACCCCCTATGTCTCAGAGTATCTCAATATTAAAACCAGAAACGCAGTGTTTGAGGGGCTTATATCTGGAAGCTGCCATGATGGCGCACGATTGCATACCGAACGCGCACTTGTCCGTTGACGATAATTTCGTTATGAGCGTGTATGCAAGTATTGACATTAATGAAAATGAGCCTATTTATTTTAATTATTCTAATATATTACAGGTAATTTTGTCGAAGCTCTGCAAAATTAATATGTTATAGGTATATGTTGTTTTATAAAATTAAGCTTTTTCTTAGTACTGCCTGTGTGGTGTCTAAAACTAAAAATTAGTTTGATGTGTTGAGTCTATACTTACATTATAGGGATTTAACGATAATTATGTTGTATAAAAGCAACGCGTGAATCAGTGATATTAATATATAACTTTACTAGCGTGTACCAGCGACTTCGTTCGCGTCGAATTAATCATTTGTAATGGTGATGATAAAGCAAAGCAAGAATTTCCATTGACATACAAACTGGATAAACTTTTTTCAAATTTATGTCAGCATGAGAAAAAACAATATGGCGATATTATTATATAACTTGGTAATATTTGAGGGGTAGTTCCATCCCGTTGGAATTTGACTTTCGAAAAATCCGTTTGCCAAAAATAAACTTTTTACGTCAAGCAGTTTAAGCAGAATCGTGGTTAAGAAATTACACAGCTTTTTGGAACACCCTGTATGATTTTTTAAAAATTTTCAAAATATGTAAAAAACCAAGTAAATTATGCTTGTCCAAGCGTTTTCCCGAAAGACTAACCGTTTTTTAAATAACAAATATTGTAATATTTGAGGAGCGTTTTCACCCTCTTGGAATTTGAGATTCAATTCCCACAATCAATCCGTTTGCCAAAAATCAGCTTTAAACGTCAAGCAGTTTAAGCAGAATCGTGATTACACAATGATCATATTTTATGAAACACCCTGTATAAATTTATAAAAAATCTTAAAATATGTAAAGCAACAAAATAAAATATACGTGTTTAAGAGTTTTTCCGAAAAACTCTCCGGTTTTTAAATAAAAAATATTTTAATATTTGAGGGATAGTTTCACCCCCTTAGAATTCGAGTTTCGAAAAATTCCTTCTTATCGAACCTCTACACCCTAAAGTCAATCTGTTTTCCAAAAATCAGCTTTTTACGTCAAGCGCTTTAAGCAGGATCGTGATTAATCAATGATCATATTTTTCGAAACACCCTGTATACATTTTTAAAAAATCTTAAAATATGTAAAAAAACAAAATAAAATATACGTGTTTAAGCGTTTTTTCGGAAACTTGACCGTTTTTTAAATAAAAAATATTGTAATATGTGAGAGGTGGTTTCACCCTCTTGGAACTGGAATTTCGAAAAATCCCTTCTTATCGAACCTCTACACCCTAGAATCAACCTGCATGCCAAAATTGAGCTTCTTACGTTGAGTGGTTTGAGCAGGATCGTGATTAATCAGTATGTCAGTCACTTAAGGATTTTATATATTAGTATACACAATTCCTTTAGAGTTTATTACATTAAAAATATAAATTTACAATGCACAAAGACAAATTTTACAGTTGATCTTTTTGTTCGTGGACATTAATCCATTTTGCAGTTTAAAAATATTTAAATCGGCTCAGCCAATCTGGAAAAGGCCACCGATTAATACTTTCAGCCAGTCTTTCAGCTTGTTTGCAAAATGTTGTTTGCCCTTTGTGATTAACTGCATGCCATTTTTCTGACACCCTTATTACTTTTTAACTGGAAGTGTTGGAATAACTGGATAGGGACGTCAATTTCAATCATAAGGTTAAGAGGTGTAAAAATGAGTCACGCCATATTTAGGTAAAACACGAGAGATTCAAATAAAAGTACTGAAAACTTATAATCAGTCAGTGTTCAAGTTAGGAACATTTAACAATAAGATATCAATAATAATTAAGATATTGTTACGGATTCCGTGGGTCCACTAATTTAAATTCACGATAAAATACTTAACGGATTTATTACTTTATATATGTATATTTTGTTGTTATATTATACCAAAAAAAGATTAACCCCCTGGCAAGTTTAGTATGGACAAATCGCCATATGTCTAATTATTCTGGGCATTGGCCGTAATTCGGCATCTGCCTCCAACATATACACCACAATCTATACTGATTACAATACAGAATTAACTATTTAGAATTCCTTCGCCAAATTGTCAACGTTGACCGTATTTCCAAACTGTCGAGCGCGGCAGCTGCAGCGCCTTATACAGGGTGGTCCGAACTGTATTCTGGAAACTTCGGCAGCATATTCTGCAGATGAAAATAAGTAAAAAAGTTCGTATAAATATATGTCCTAAAATGCTTAGTTTCGGAAATACAGGGTGTAGAAATTTCATTTTTATTTCGTTTTTTTCCAAATAATTTTTGAAGTAACGTCAATATTTGAGTGAAAATTGGTGTCTTTTTTGACATGATAAATTTGATTTTCATGTCAATATGACTCCTACTTGTAGAGAGCACCACCCACTTATTTTTTAACTGGTTTGAATAGTATTAACTTTTTGTCCGTACTTGTATAAAACTACTGAGTAAAAAAGAAAACATTTACGAAGTTTTCTACGTAAAAAAGATCTCTTGGTAAAAATCGCTACGAGTAATGGTTCTCGAGATATTTGAAATCGAAATTTTCAATACCGGTCATCATTGACATAAATTAAACATGTTGACTAAATAGTTACTAGACTGAAATCATAAATTTGAAATGTTTTTGTGCCAAAAGTTCAACAGAAACTGTTTTATCATATTTTTTTGCAGGAAAATTTATGATCAATGTAAAAAAATTAAAATTTCCCAAATGTATTATTTCAGTCTAATAACTATTTAGTCAACATGTTTACTATCTATCTACTTAACATATTTATTTTTTGTCAATAATGATATGTATTGACTATTTCCATTCTAAATATCTTTAGAACGGTGGTTTGTAGTGATTTTTACCAAGAAACATTTGTTACGTAAAATGTATCGGAAATGTATATTTTTTCACTCAGTAGTTTTATATAGGTACAGACGAAAAGTTATTACACTTCAAAACAGTTAAAACACATGTAGGTGGCGCCCTCTACAAATAGGAGTCATATTGACATCAAAATTAAATTTCTCATGTGAAAAAACTCCCAGACACCAATTTTCATCCAAATATTGACGTTACTTCCGAAATTATTTGGGAAAAATCGAAATAAAAATGAAACCTCTACACCCTGTATCTACGAATCTACAGAATGTACTGCCGAAGTTTCTGGAATACAATTCAGACCACCCCGTATATCACTGCGGATCTTCTGGCAAGTTCTATTCTAGAATTATATAGAATTCTTTTAGCTTCGGACAATTTCTGTTTGGTTTAAAATTAAAAAAAAATCGCTTTTCTTCTAGTTGGCTCTTCTGGGTCGTCGTCTTGGTGTAGTTGCAGTCTTTCTTTTTCATGTATGTTTTCTGTGGCTTTATATAGGTCGCTTGTTACTAGGCTTATTATTTCGTTTTTGTCTGTTATTCTGATGTTGTTGTGTTAGCTGCGATTAGCTGCTTCTTTGCGATCATGAGGGATTTCTTAGCGTTCTTATAGCTGTATCGTTTCGTCTCATCAGTCAGTTTATTATTATCTTTGTTACGCCACTCTGGGCCTCCAATTTTTTTTGCACAGTTTAGTACAGTGTCCATAAGCTGTTGTGTGTTTGTTTCTTCTTCAGCCAGCCTGCTGTCCAGTAGCTGTTGATATTCACTGGATTTTTCTTCTAGCGTGAGTTATGTATTTTATTGTAACTAACTTGTTTTTAAAAAATTTATTTTATTCAAGAAAATTACAATTTAATAATTTGACAATATAAAGTAACTGCGTACTGTACGAAAGTTAATCATAAAGTGAATAGGTATATCTAATATTCAATAACATGAAATGTAATGTCAGCAAATTAATTGTTTGCAATATATAATAGGAAAATAATAACTAGGTCGGTTCATGAACTATGATTGGGACGGACTGCGTCACGTATCTCCTCCCTCCTCAAGTTCGGAACATAAGGGCTGCAATGGCTGGTCGTTTTTTCGAATCTCCTCTAAGGGGTTGTCCATAGGGGTATTCTTGTATTGGTGGTTGTTTTGGGATGAAACGGGTTTCTTCCATTTTTTCCATCCAATATATAGAAGGACTCCGCATACAAGGGCGGCACTGGTGAAAATTGAAGCTGACGCAAGGTTCAATGAAGATCCGGGATTGTCCAGAGGCTGTAGCTGGAGTGTTGACAGTATTTTCTGTGCATTCTTCATCTCGTCTAAGTTTATTTCTTCGAAGGTTAGTTTGGAGATGTTGTTACTATCTTGGGAATAGGAGAATTTTGGCAGTTCTAAAACATATTGAAATTCTGTTTTTGTTTCGATTTCAAAAGTTAAGTTTCCTATCTCAACAGGGCATGAGGATATGCTGACGATGCTTGGTTCAGAGAATTTGTATAGTCTTCGTTGACATTTGTCTCGGGCAATTGTCTCGTGTACAGGAATTACCAAAATTTCGTTACCATATAGGCGTTGAATGGTACTTTTTGTATACTTAACGTTGATCATTGGACACATATTATTTGATGTTTTTAAAAGTTTGAAGAGGCAGTGTTCGTCTTTTGATAAGGCGGTTTGTTTACAGATGAAATGGTCTTCTAGTTGTGGACATTCTTCTTCTGTGGTCCAGTAATCTTCTTTTGTGAGTAGGATGTAAGGGTTAGATAGAAGGATAGTTTTGTTTACAATAGGTATTGGGAATATTTTGTGAAGGATGTAGTGGGTGGGTAATATAATTGGTGTGTGTATTGAAAAGAGTATTGAATTATTTTTAATAATGACTTGAACAGATAGATAATTATAAAAATTTATTAATTCTTTGAATTCGGGTATTCGGTTTGGACCGTATATTGTTTTTATATTTTCTATTAATGTTAAGAGTTGGTTTGGATTAAGTATAGAGTTGTGCATTTTATTTACATGGGCAAATGAGATTGCATTTTCGATATTATTAATTATTGAATTTAATGTATTTAATTGTAACATTACGTTGTCCAAAATTAAGGAAATATATAAGGCACTAGATAGGTTTAGCTGATTTTTGTCAAGTAAATTAATTTTTTCTAATATAAGTAATTGATTATTGTTGATTTTATC